AGGGGGGGGGGGGGAGGATTTTAGTTCGTTTATTTTTCTACTACTCACATGTAGGCTAGAATTACTGACTTTGTTTTGGTTTTGGAGGAGGGGGTTAAATCCATTTGCTCATTTAATTTCTCTTCTCACTCCCAAATTAGATAGAAAAGCTTCACATCTCTCCTAATAATTTGTTATCCGAATAATCTGTGGACTAATACTATTATGCTTCATTATATCCATTCAGTGGGCTGGAATGCTGCATTGCAGAACATTTGAAAACTGTGGCTTATCAAGAAACTTAAGAAATATTTTTTTGGTTGGCCATATCATAACATTTCAAAAAACTATCAAAACTCAAAAGAGCTAAGCTCACAACACTCCCACAAAGATAACCTCTGGCTCCAACAGTTGATAGGCAGGATACACAGATCAGTGCCCTCAGGCATCACTGGCTGGTGTCAAGCTCGTAAATCAGCTCTCTGTCTGTCAACCAATTTGACTCAGTCCAAGGAAGCTGTTCATATTGCTGTTAATAAGGTCAGGAAGGGCATCAGTTACAAACAATCAATTTCCACATAATTATATTTAATGTAGAACTGTTTTCATAGAATCATAGAATTGTCTAGGTTGGAAGGGACCTTTAAGATCATCTAGTCCAACCATCAACCTAACTCCGATTCACAGAAGTATTACTAGAAACACATAGCATAGGCCTGGATGAAATAGTTGTGCATATGTGCATCATTGGATTTTTGCATGCATTTTCAAATATTCTATACAAATCAAATGTTCACAGAATTACTGTATTAGTTGATTTATAACGACTCAGCTTCAAGTCCGAACTCTTCCTACCTGGATTAAATATGCCATCACCTTCTTCCCAGCCTATGAACTCAATCATTTTCTTGATGACTGCTTCTTCCACCAACAGAAACACAGGGGATACTTCATATGTATATCTGAATAAAAATAAAAGCACCATGAATGGTATTAAGAGTACAGAACTCATGCCACAGAATATTACTAAAACTAGGTAAATGTTTCTTCCACCTTTCTCTAATCTGTCAGAAACTGATCACCATCAGCAGTAAAACTCCAAACTAAAAACACTATAGATTTGACCCAGTAAAGCAACTGATTAGTTCCTGACAGCATCACATTGACACTTTCATTATCAAAGTAATACATCAGAATTTGCATTTAATGTAGGCCACACACTTAAATTTCAGCTATAATGACCTGTTGCAAGCAACAATTACTCTTTGTTTATATTTGCAAGTAAACAGTGGACAGGTAACCATTTGCATTCAACTCTGTGCAGAATCCTTCAAAGGAGACAACTGAGTAAGTCTGATTAATTCATTTTTATGCACTAAGTTAAAAAAAAAAAAAAAAAACAAGACCAAAATCTAGGTTTAAAAGTGTTAAAAACAAAGATGTCTACTCTTAAGCCCCACTTCACAAACTAGAAAAAAGGGGGAAAGCTGTTATTCCAAAATGCATGCTAATTTGTCATCAAGAAGACAGAGAACTACACTTACACACTTGGGTTCAGTGCTTCTGTAATGAAACGACCCACCAATGAGTAATAATCTATTCCAGCGTACAGCTGATTGAAAAATCTTGGATGACCTGAAAATACACATGAAAAGCAAGGAATGACAGAATATACATGAAAAGAGAATATATAACAGGCCTTGTCAGCTGAATGCTGATCACTGCAAACCACAATTCACTCCATCATTCTCTCAGTATTTTCTGGACTTACTTTCCTTTACTTAAATTAGACAATGCTTTGAAAAGAAATATAATAATCACTTTCAGGTCCCTAAACAAGGTTTGAGAGATATAAGTAGTGCATTGAATGAGTGTGGGTTGTTCACAAGTTTTAGAAATCAAAAAAAGAAAGGGGATTGACAACTGAGTACACGCAGTGACTTTTAACAGTGGTCTTGAGAGGCCACAAATTTTGCTAAGCAGTAGAATACAGCAACCTGCCAGTCCCGGGCAGCTGTGCCTGTGCTCCCACCAAAGTCTCAATACTTTGGTATGGATGGAGAAAGGCAGTATTACAGCTTGGAAAACCTTGCTGCAGATTTAAAATGACAAGTTCATAGAATTGGTTTACCTGCGTTGAAACTCTGAGATATAACTAATTATGAGAAAAGTCTACACTATTGCTGACTATAAAAGGAAGTCAGTTCAGCAGCGGGATCATCACCTAAATTTTAATCCACAGCATAGTGCTTTTACATGCAAAATCAGGTAAACTGTATGGTTCCATTTATATTATATCTGGGGCTTCAATAAATGTTTATACTTAGATTAAAGACTATTTGCACAGCCTATTTTTATATACAATATCCTTTCTAAGGTGACATAGTGTAACAAATAAAAATCTGAAGGCAATTTGCAAAAGATAAACAGAACACCTTCCAGTAACTCAGTAACTATATCTGCATATTATTAGCACACTCCCCCTGTAGATCAGTATTGCTGTTTTTCCATGGTTTTCAAAGGCATGTGTGTACTCGCAGAATTATTTTATGGTTTTTACTTTGTAGCAATAGTGACTGTAGCAGGGAATATGCCCTGGAAACGCACAACTAACTATATCAATTCTCACTTTCCAAAACACAGCCTAAGCTATGGCACATCTGAAATCCTGAGCTACCGATCCACAGCCCTGTTTCCTGAACAGATGTTATTCATCCCTTTTTGCTAAGACTGAATTATACTACCCATGCTGCAGAAAGGTTAGCTGTAGAGAACTAATCCTGCAGAGATGTGGTGTACTGTCTCTGAAACACTGCAGGCTCTCTTCTCACAGTGTCTGGAACAGGAATTACTGCCTATCAGCAAATTAACACCCTACAAGAGTATTGCTCAAAAAGAGCAACAGTAAGTGTAGGGTAATCATCACTAAGAATGTATGAGGGCAATGATGGTAGCTCCACTCCTCACCACTCAGACTGCAGGAAATCACACACAAAGTTCCTTCTCCTGCCTGTTCTGCTAGACTGTTTTATCATACCCATCTAGGTGACTTTCACAAGACTTCAAAATGACAGAATCTACCACTAATGTCAATAGCATTGCAAGAATTAGTTTTCGATTAGGTTGCCACAATTACACATTTTAGTCCAACCTATGGTGACCAGCGTTCAGTCAAACAATTGAAACACAGCCAAATGTTTGCATACTTGTATAGGCAGGCAGAAAACAAACATTCACACCCCTAGCTCCCTGAAAGGTGACAGAACTTCCTAAACATTATCCTGCCTTCCTAGGTTAGCATACAAAATAACTCCACTAGAAATCACATTCCTACTGGTTTTGACGCTGTATTGTATGACATCCCGGCAGAGTTGCAGGAGTTTCTGATGAGATTCCCCAGTGTCCCGCATTTCCAGGTCAAGAATCTGCTTCAGTGTTTCAGGGTCTCGCCACTCACAAACCTAGTGATGTGGAGGGAGGGAGGAAGGGAGGGAGACACCAGCAGTGAGCAGGTTAGACGAGAGAAAGAGGCTATAAAGGTACAAGGTAAGCACCACATTCAGCACTGGTTTCACAGCTCTGCCCATTGCAGTGCAGCGTGCCACCAGAAAATATCTCTGGTAAACTGGTCTCACGGGGTCTTGGTTGTATTGTGTCTCACGCATTGCTTGACCATAAAAATCAGAGTGGGGAATGCTGGAAGGCAAGAGGCCTGCGGGTCACATCAGCTAAGGATTTGAAATCACAGCATTTTCAGATGCTGTTCTGCCAAGCAGTGGGAGCACCCAGTGCATGCCCAAAGGCAAGTACATTTTATTTTCAGCCCCTCTTCCCACACAGCCCATAAGTGGAGGTTTTGCAAAACCCATAGAAATCTCATAACGTTGCCCTTTCACAGCGGTACCGCATGTGCTGTTCCTCCTCCAATACTAGTGACCCTGAGGAAAATAGAAGTAGCTCGCCTGACCCCAAACAAGAAAAACACTGCATCCATTTGTCATATCAAAGAAACTGACCATTGTACTCTGAGACCAAAAAAAGTCATTATTTTCTGGCAAATATGTATGCTAATTATGTTATTGAAAGGTTTTAGAATATGATCTTTCTTAATTTGGAAGGCTGTCGTCTTATTTCAGAGCCAGGCATGGGCTAGAACCAATTTTGAGGCTGCTTAAAGTGCAATAAAATACAGCTTAGAAAAAATTACTTTAGTGATCACTATGTCTATTGCAACTGCTCAACAACATTTTTTTGCTTTACCTTTTCTGTTACATCATCAGCTTTCTGGATGACTTCTTCCATTATAATCTTACAGGCCTCTTCCACAAACTTCTCTCCTGCCTTTGCATCCATTATCGGACCATTTAGGACAACCCCATCCACCAAAACAGCATTCCTCTTCTTCTGGAGCATGTCCTGTTTGCAATTACCAGCTGTAAGATAAATAACTTACCATTAGAACAAGGCCTAGACAACTAAATCATGAACTAAAAAACTATTCTTCCATTGCTGAAGATTTAGTCTACTTAAGAAAAAAAAATTCACATGGACATTTCTCATGCACATTTTTTGGTGAAAGAATCTTGACAGCCAAAAAACCCCAACATGTGTTACTTCAAACCTAGATTGTTATTATATAGGTAATAATAGCCTACTCTATTGTATCTACTGCTTCTGTAGCATACAAAAGCATGCAAGGCACCTTCCAAACACAGAGGAAAATACATTTCTGTCCTAGAATATGATATAGCTGGATAAACAGAAATAAAGTGCAAGATAATAGGCATTTTTCTTAGCTGAAAATGTTTCCCTCCAAGTCATCCCTCCTGCTCCCCTTTTTTTCATTAAATAATTTCCAGCTTCATTTCCTTGATCTTTATGCTGTTTCTTCCCACCAGACAGTCCTATTGCTCTGAGTCTTCTGCACCTTCTGTGAAGTGTTTCACTGACCCAAAATCCATGAAAATAAAACCTTTTGAGATTGCTGTCAATATCACACACCTGTACTTCTCTCCTTTCTTGCCTTCTGCTATTAAGTGCCCTCAATCACTAATTACAGTAATTTGCTGTGCAGATTATCTTGTTTGTTCACTTCAACCATGCTCTTTCTTGTCCCTCACCTATCCACAAGAAGTACTCTCCTGATGTGTTCCATGGACACATTGCTACTTCCTTCTTTACATCACTTCTGAAAGCACATCCAAGATGCTTATAAGACACTGGTCAACAGCAGCAACCACGTATCCATTTCATGTATTGATTTCATACGGCAAGATCAGGACTCCAGTTTTAATCAATGTAAGGATAAAGACGAAAGTGAGACATTTGGAGATATCAAGGGAACAGACATTTGAAACAGTATAGCACTGAAAGAAGAAGCGGTAACTTCCATATCCAAATTATCTGGGTTACAGACAGCACCTGTCCACTGATCTCGCTCTAGAATAGCTAAGATCTATGAAGCCAGACAGCATGGCTTTGGAGGTTCTTCTTCAGCTACAGTGAGGACAGTGGAAGGGTAAAGATGTATAAAGGAGAAAGCTTTACGCCCGAAACGACTTTATCTTCTACTTTACTTTTTGCTCCAGTTATAAATTATAGAAAAAAGGCAACTTTTTTCACAGGTCTAAACAAACAACTGAATTTCCAGAAGACTGCCAGACACTGCAGTCTGAAACATTCATCATATTTATCATAATTACAGTCCCTTGTGTGCTTGACGAAATAGAACAGCAGGAATACAGCCTAGGAAGGTGGGTGATTTGAGGTCCATTGATTGAAAGAAACCCTGTCAACCCCATGAGCTTTCATTTACTGATGACTCAGAAAAGCTATTCAGTTCTCTTTCACCTGTGAGGACAGATATGACAAACAAGATCAAATTCTAACATGAGGTGGAGCCGCAGGCTTCCCATAGAGCTAAAGACAAAAATGAGACCCTCACACTCTGCATTTCTGACCAGAGTAGCATTTCACTGAGCAGATTAGCCTTCAGTACATTGTTACTGTAGGAGAGGCATAAGTGTTCTTGTGCAATAGATACAGAACAAGCAGATAAACAGAACTCAACAGGCAAAGAGGGAAAATCCCAGACATCAGAAATGTCAATTTTCATCATGCTTCCCAGCACAGCACAGGCACTGTACAGAAATTGCAGCTTTGGAAAAGTCTTAGAGTTTTTTCTCTGAAAACACAAAGTAGTAGGTCAAGTTTACAAGACTTAAAACTCCAGGTATTAACAAGAAATAAGGAATTGGAAGGCACCACATCTTTGGACAGACAGAACAGGGACTATTTTTTGATTAAGATTATTTGATGCATAAACAGCTGTCTTAAAAAAATAGTATCTCAGTCTTGCCATGTCAAAGGTGTATGTTTCTATGAAAAAGAAGACAGGATCTGAAAAAACATTGTAGGAGATTAATGCCTACCACAGAGCACAGATACTGAAACTTCCTTTTGTTACAGGAAGAAGAAACAGAACAGCAAAAGAACTTACTAACTCCCTTTTTTTGCTCTGCTCCATCCCTTGGGTCTCTGCTAGAACTAGAGCTGCGCAAAAGCTTTCTATTGGTAACTCCATCAGCCCTATTTCTGATACTTTTGCACAGAGATGCCATACTAGTACTTCCATGACTTTACAGTGATCTCTTCCAGTGATTCTATGAAAAGCAAAAGCAGAACTTTACATTACTTTTTCTACCTAGGTCTTCAGGGGGTTGGGTGATGTGTCTAACAACAGTTCCCTATTTGAAGCACGTCTATTCCCCTCTACACAGAGTTTTACAGTCTCCATAGGGCACTTTGAGGAGCCTGAGAAAGAAGACATCCTCTGGAAAATGGATAATAACCTAAACTTAGATCCAACACATCTGTTTCGGGCCTCAGGCAGAGTCTATGAAACAGCAAGGCAAAGGAGAGGGGTCAGAAAGGAGGGGAAAAGAGCCTTTACGTTAACGGCAATTTATCTGTGTAAGGCAAAGAGTTCAGGACTTAGTCCACAATATATTTCATTAAATAGAGCACCTTGCAGTTATTTACCACTTTCTCAATATTTTTTTTTGTTATCACTTGCCATTTCAATCTGAACTTGCTGACCTAAATTCTGCCTTGAACCTGCATTGGACTATTCCTGGAGATTAACATGAACTACTACTTCACAATCAACAGCTAAATCAAGGCCCAAACGTACACATTTTCTGAGGTAAAGGTGTCCAGGTTTTGCAAGCCACTATTTAAGAACACAGAAACAGACTCCTAAGCAGACTCAGAAAACAGACTTCCAGAAAGTATATCAAATGCAATTTCAGCCAAATGGCTCCAGGCTTGAAACAGCACTAAAACTTTACCAAATGGAAGTGCTTCAAACAGGGAAATGAAGGATTATTGACTGTTTAAGACATCCTTCTGCAAAAGAGAAGACTCGATCCTGCTCCAATTGAAGGTAATTGGGCATTTAGCCACTGGCTTCAGCAGCAGCAGAACCAAGCCCGTAATTCTCACATTTCATCCTGAATGAAATAGTCTATTACAGAAGCCTGAGGATTTCCAACCAGCATTTCATTTTTATCATCAATATTATTTTCCTAGCAGAAAACAAATTAATTGGAGCTGAAATTATGTACAGAAAAATAAACATTTTTCAGATGTTTCTGTATCTTTATGTAAGCACTACCAAGTATTTTAAAACCTGCATCTGTGTTTCCATAAACATAGAGAAACTTCCACTGCTAAATTCTCGCACGACAAAAAGAAACTGGAGCCTTGTACTTGGCACGTTCTGACAACATTTGGGAGAGTAGAATAAAATGCCCAGAAAGATTTACTGCTTGCAAGGAAAAGGCAGAAACAGAAGGGGGTGGTTGTGGAGGAGTAGCTTGTGCTTGAATGCCAGAGCCAAATCCTGCTCAAGTTTACACTGTACTAGCACCACTATTTAATTGAAAGCAAAAGGCTGGCTTTGACCAAAGGTTGATTTCTGCTTTGTAATGAATACAGTAATAATTGGCAGCATTAATCAGAAACAAACTTTAAACTTCTCAGCCTGTATGATCTAGTCATTGTTCCTCTTTCAGAAGACCTCAGTATTTTCTTTTAGTGTGTCCAGAAAAAAAAAAAGAAAAAGAAAGAGAACTTCAGTGTCAAGACTCCACACCACCACATTTAATGGATTACTGTGATGCCATATCACGTATCAAAGCATTAACACATATACCTATCTGGTACTATGCAGCTATTTGAGTCCCCTGGCATACATAATCTTTACAGCCACTTTCGTGTCTTTAATCACTCTTTCTGTATGTTTACAACTGAAGTAAAGCCACCCCAGTTTTAAGGCAAAATACATTGTTTGTTAGTAAACTGATTTCCTAGGCCAAGTAAAGGCAATGCAGGTTTCTTAGAATCCAGTATAAAAGTTGATTTGGTATCCTGGGAAAGCCATTCACGTGGAAAAAAAAAGCAGGCCCATGCAATTGCCCCTGTACTACATGCTCCTGTTTTGGAGGTTTACGGACCAGGCTGCGGACAGAGATGAAGTTGGGTCCTTCCCTTCAGAAGGTCTGCAACAGACCCCCCCACAGGAATCCTCCGACTGTGAAAATGCAAACGTGACCTTTCTAGAGCAGGACACGCGGAAAACAAAAGCGCTTGTGTCCAAGCAAAAAAGCCCCTGAATAGACTCTTTGAGCACACTGCCAGCACTGAACGGCCGCAGTGCAACAAACAGGTCCTATTCTCCATCCCACACCTGCATTTCCCATTCTGAAAGGAAAGGTTGGGAGGAGAAAGAGAAATCTGGAGAGGAGCCCCAGCGATGACAGGGAATGCAAGGTCTGCAGCTGGGAGAGAGGTTCTGCTGCCAGAGATGTTTCCAGAGACCTGAGGGGACACCCTTATCAGTTGAATGTTCATGACTTCTTGGGCCCATTCACTGTGTCAAGCGCTTGCTATACACAACAGTACTAGGCAGGATATGCTAAAAAATAAAGAAATAAAAATCATAAAAGCAGCATACAGAAGTTAAGAAACAAGAATCAGGAATCTTTATGCATCCAAACCTCAGGAACTGATGTTAATATTTAATAACAACTTCTCAATGCCCTAACCAATTACCTGCAGGAATGATTCATGCTGTAACATTTCCAATTAGGAAGAAAGGCTGTGGAGAATTGGAATTCACCTTGATGCGAAACTGAGAAACGGCAAATGCCAACTATGAAATGGAAATCCCTACTCCTTGACCCCAATGAGATTCTCGCAGCTCACATGCTCTAATTTTTAACATCTGCCAACAGTGTAGGAAGCTTTTATTTTAATTAGAAGGTGCACGTTGATAATGAACATTTAATGAAGGTTCCTTTTTCTGTGGAAAAGTGAATATATTTGCAACATCCAAGTCAATCACAGGCACTGTGCATGGGATAGCAAAGTT